ATGCTATCTCTCGTCTCCAAATCTATGACGATCGGAGAGTCGAAGAGTAAGAAACCTTTTTTTTTTAAACTAATTACCTATTGGTAACCTCACTTGAGACTCCAAATCTATGACAATCGGAGAGTCGAAGAGTAAGAAACCTTTTTTTAAAAAAACTAATTACCTATTGGTAACCTCACTCGAGACAAATTGCATGAAGGGTCTAAATGCACTTTCTTTAGATGAGTGGCTCAATGCATTTTCATGGTTAATAATCAAAGTCACAATTCACAAAGTATTAATATTAGAGCATCTGATTTCAATTTCTAATTTGAACAATTTCAATTTCAATTTCTAATTTGAATAATTTAAGGTTATTTTGCTAAAAACAACGTCTACTGAACAAAATAACCCATTTATAAAAAATAAAAAATAAAAAATAAAAAAATAAAAAATCAACAGCCTAAATATCTACCTAGGCCGCCTAGTCTGTCATGACCTAGTCAGTGCCTAAACTGCCTAGAACCGTGATTCTATCAAAATTCTAGGCAGCCGGTCACCACTGCCTAGTCGTGATTTTTGCAATATTGGTTACAACATCACCGTGTTCTGCAACTTTATACCTCAATTATTCTATAGAGAATTTATTAATTTAATAGGAATATTGCCACTTTTCCTTCCTGATTCTATTTTCTAATGTTTCCAGAGGATGTGTACCTAATCATCATCAAACACATATTTCAACTTTTCACAATATATAGATAACCAAAATGCAGAGGGAAATGTGACAGAAAATTTTTATTTAAAAGGAATTTCAAACTGCATGATAATTAAAACCCATTCTAAACAATTTCCAGTTTAAAATCAGTTCTTCAAATACCAACAAGCACCAGGAGTAATGAATTTCTGAGCACAAGATTTGAAAGCCCTCTCTGACCTTTATAAACTTAGAATATAGAGTTCCCAGAACCCCAACCCCATTAAAAGGCAAGATAAGAAGATATATAAACAGATATGCAGAACTCAAATAAATAAATAACTAAATAAATGACAAGATACTATCAAAAGCAAGGTTAGCTAGTAGGGTAATTGATATTTACCCAGGTAAAAAAGATTTGGAAAACTAAACACCAAAGAATGGGAATATATCTTTATCATTCTTCCAGAGTACCAACATGTCCTGTCCTCAGCTATATTATCGTACATACCTGGATCACTCAAGAACAAGAAGAACAAGAACATCTTCAAAAGTTCTGGGTTCATCAATCTTCCCACTTTAAATAATTCAAGTCAGTCATAAGACAGTAATAACAATCTGGATACACAAGATCAACATATGGTATGCTAATTGTATGGAGGCTAAGGCATTCATGTGGAATTTCCAGCAACGCAGTATAGTACATTCAGACAAAACGAAACAAAAGGAGAACTAAGAAAAAAAAGTGATAAAATCTTAATAATTTTGCAAAGGTACTGAATTCTACAGGTTCTTCAACAGTTAATATAGAAAACCCCAAGCTGTTTAGACAACGCAGAAATTCCACATATAAATAGCTATAAAGATTGAAAATCAAAATCAGACCGACATCCTGCAATTAGAGAAGCCAAAACTGCTATAAAACAACAATGAGCAATAATTGATTTAAAGTTCACATCACAACAAAATTTCTCAAATCAGGGCAAAGTGAGTCTACTCACTGGCTCTTCTTAGTTCTCTTGCTCTTCAGTTTGGTTGGCACTTCTTTCAACTTCATCCCAACCACATTCTTTCTTTTTCCTGATTCATCATCAGACTTTATAGATGACTTAATTTTCTTCTGTTTCTTGTCCTCTTTGTTCTCCCCCTTTCTCACTTTCTTACTCCCTTTTTCACCACTCAAATCACTCCCTTTCTGAGTTTTCCCCTTCTTCCCTTTCTTAGCAGGAACCAAATCATCACCTTTGCTCATCTCATTCTCTTTTTCATCACTTTCTTCTTCCACATTTCCCTTAACAATGGCAAAATCCCTATTCTTTTCAGTCTCATTCTCACCATCTTCATTGTCACTAGACAATTCACTTCCACCCGTTTCAACATCCATATATCGAACTTCATGAAGCCTCCCTTTCCTCTTTTTCCTGCCCACCTCCTCAGTTTTCCCACTATCCTTAGCCTCAGGAAAATCATCACTTGATTCCTTGCTGCCAATCCCTCTCTCCACATCCTTAGCCCCCATAATTTTCAGCTTCATATCCGGCAATCCTTGATACAAAGGCAAGGCCACAGAACCGGATAATCTCAAGTGCAAGCTCCTCACACCACCCCATTTTTTGGGAACATACTCCACAACTCCATTGATGGCCTCCACCACATTGTCAACAATCTCTCCACTCTCCATTGCCCGCTTCCCAACCTTCATCACACTACAAGTCCCAGTCCGCAGGAAAAACAAGCCGGACCCGCACGCCCTCTCTATCTGCTCCTTCCAGTTCTTCTTTGTCAAGTCCACGGGCAAAGGCAACTTCCTCTTCTTGAAGAAGTGCTTCCCCAGAAGCTTAGGGAGGAAGTGGACAATCCTCTTGTCCACCAAGAACACATCGTACGAATCGCAGAGCTTCCTCTTTGCCTCAAAAGGCTTATAATCTGTCTTCAACTTGGAGAGTTTCAGGACTTTGCTAACGGATATATCCTGCGATTTTATTACCTTCTTCGCGTCCTTGGAGGTGAGATTGGAGTTGGACCTATCGTCGATGATAAGACAACACTCGGAGGAGGCTTGGTCGTGTAAGGCGTGTGGGAGGGCGATTCGGAAGGGGTTGACGCGGGCCTTGGGAGGGATTTTCTTGAGAGTGATGTTGAGGTAGACGAATTCGTCATCTGGGAGTAGCTGGGGCGCCTGCTCCTTCGATTGTGCGTCTTTCCATTTCAGTAGGGCGTTGACGGCTCTTTCTACGATGTCTCTGCTAACTTTAGCGTCGGCGGCGCCGGCGGAGGCAGGTATTGCTGGAGTTTCTATAGCCATTGAGGGTCGGCGACGGTGAGCGGTAATTCGGAGGTTTTGAGAGAAGAGTGAGAAGGGTTTTAGCCTTTAGGTCAGAGATGAAGAAGGGAATAAGTAGACTTTGGGCTTTGGAGAAAATGGGCCGTATTGGGCCACGGCAAATTAGTTCGTGTACATCAAAATATTTGCAATTTATACCAAGTGGCTTGTGGTCACTGATATCCAGGGCAAATTATTCCGTATGCACCATGCATGGTGCATACGGATGCAAAAACGACGTCGTTTTAATAAAACGCGCGTCTCCCCTTAAAAAAAAAAATCAAGTTCGATTCCCAGCAACAACATATGAACTAAAATTCCATAATCGATGAACTATAATTCCATAATCTAATCTATGAACTAAAAATTCTAGAATGAATGAACTAAAATTCCATAATCTATAAACTAAAATTTCAGAATCGATGAACTACAATTTCATAATCGATGAACTATAATTCCATAATCAATGAACTATAATTCCATAATCTATGAACTAAAATTTCAGAATGAATGAACAATATAATGTTGTTGCTGGGAATCGAACCTGAATTTTTTTTAAAGGGAAGACGCGCGTTTTTTAATAAAACGACGTCGTTTTGAGATCCGTATGCACCATGCATGGTGCATGCGGATGCACAGCATAACGATTGGATATCCGGGAGGTCTAAGGTTTGAATAGGCGTAGTTATGTATGTGGGTATCTCCTTTCTTCTGTTAAAAAAAATATATATTTGCAATTTATACCATGTATCATGCTTCTTATTGCATGCAATTGTTATACCATTACCGTAGATCTAGGAATGACAATTTCAATTCGCTCCGTGAATATTCACTAAAATTTATCTTGTATGAATTGAATTTTTTGGGTAATAATTAATGGTGGGTTGGGTAAGTTTAAAAAAAATTAAACTCGCAGTGAATCGAGTTGAATTTTAATTTTATGTACAAAATCCATCTAGTACTCACATGCGACTCACCATGTGTATGTATTTGTGTGTATGTATAGTAAAATAAATACTAAGAGTAGTATGTAATTAATTATAAATTTTTGAAAACTTTTTAACATTAAATTTTTACTATTCTTAATTCTAAACTAATAAGTTTATTTTCAAAAATTTAATAATTTAGTTATTATATTTGAATATTTTTATTATTTTATGTTTTAATATAACTAGTGAATTTTATTACGGAGTATTTTATTATGTGTAAGTAATTTAAATATTATTGTAAAATTTTTAATAAGATAATAAGTTATGGGTACTTGTAGTGGGCATCCGCATCGGTGGAGAAGGGGTGAATTTTAAAAAAGTTCACCCGATGCAGGTTGGGGCTTGGGGGCGAATTATATTGTGTGTGCCCTGGCACAAATCCCGTTTTTGCTGTTAACTTCAAAAAGAAAATGTCATGTTTTGTATGTACAGAATTGTATAGTAGAATACACATAAACTCTTATGTTCAGATTTTATATGTGTATTATGTTAAAAGTTTATGTGTATTCTGTTAAGAGTTTACGTGTATTATGTTATGAGTTTACGTGTATTATGTCAAGAGTTTATGTGTATTATGTATTATGTTAGATTATGTGTATTCTGTTATGAGTTTATGTACATTCAAAATATAAGTTTTATCGTTTTTGAAGTTAACGGTAAAAATGAAAATCGAAATTTAAAAAAAATAAAATAAAATAAAATAAAAAACGAAACACAACCAAAACGATATTTTTATCAAGATGTACAATGCATTATGCGTCCTCGTGCACAATATAATTTGCCAGTTAATTGAAGTGATAAAGATTATGGAACGGTGATCCGGGAGTATATTCCAATGCATGGTCAAGAAGTCCTAGAAAATACGAGAATTGAAGTATGCAGGGCGGTATTAGAAGTTGCCACGCCTCTTCACCAGAACTATCCACAACCATCTCGATTATACCTTACCCAACCTACCAACAATATAATCCTCTTCTCTACGCTATTTATACCCTCCAACCATCTTAATTTCCCACTCATCTTCAATTCTCTGATACTCATATATATATATAAACCTACTTAATTAATTATATATACTTGTAGACGGAAATGGCAGGTGGTGAGGAGGTTGTGCTGTTGGATTCATACGTAAGCATGTTTGGGATGAGGGTAAAGGTAGCTTTAGCAGAGAAGGGGATCCAATACGTGCACAAGGAAGAGGACTTGAGGAATAAGAGTCCTCTTCTCCTGGAGATGAACCCGGTTCACAAGAAAATTCCAGTTCTGATTCATAATGGCAAACCGGTTTGCGAGTCACTCATCATTGTCCAGTATATTGATGAAATCTGGAAGGACAAGTCTCCCCTCTTGCCCTCTCACCCTTACAGCAGAGCTCAAGCTAGGTTCTGGGCTGATTTTATTGACAAAAAGGTATATATGTTAATACAAATTTTAATTTGTTCTCTTCCCAAGTGTTGCATGCTTCTCTCAAAAAAGTCGAATCCCCGTTCTGGCTGGACAGGGAGGATGTAAATCACAGTGATTCAATGTCACAATAGACAGAGTTAAATATTGGTCCCCACAAGTTAAGGGATCTGTCCATTTTGACCATAATCTCCAGTCCCCATATTACTGTCACCTCTTTCAAATATTATTTACTAAACTATTGAGTTAAGTCGGTGCAGACACCAAGTTTTCCATGCTGATGGGATTGTATGTATGTATATGTGTATGCAGATTTATGATTGTGGGAGGAGAATATGGGCAACAAAAGGGGAAGAGCAAGAAGCAGCCAAGAAAGAGTTGATAGATTGCCTAAAGCTATTGGAAGGGGAATTGGGAGATAAGTCCTTTTTTGGAGGGGAAAGCTTTGGGTTTGTGGATGTGGCTCTCATCCCATTCTACACTTGGTTCTATACTTATGAGAAACATGGGAATTTCAGCATAGAGGCACACTGCCCTAAGCTTGTAGGATGGGCCAAAAGGTGCATGCAGAAAGAGAGTGTCTCCAAATCCCTTGCTGATCCTCACAAAATTCATGACTTTGTCATCCAGATGAAGAAGAGGCTTGGCATTGACTAGCCACCCAGAACGTACAACTATAGACATACAATAAATAATATAATGAATCAATAAAATATATAATAAATTGATCAGTTATATATAGCAGATCAGAATGTTGTGCCATGTCTTTTGGCACATTGTTGTAGGTTTAATATGTAGCATGCATGTATGCTTCTCCACATTCAGGAAAATAAGCAAATGTTATAGTAGTGTTCTTCCCTCCACTAAAATATAAAGGGAAGTATACATATTCTGTTTTACTACTTAGCTTGCACTATAATGAGAATAAAGTTTGGTCCATAGAATGTTACATCTTTTAATTTGGAATGTAATACCCTGCTACTTTTTTCACTTTTTCATATATATCGGATCAAATGCCACCGTCTCCTTGTGCACACAACGGGTTTTTTGGCAATTAGCGGTTAGCGGATTGTATTAGCGGTTTGGCAATTAGCGATTAGCGGATTGTATCCGCGGTTAACGAATAGCGGATTGTGTTAGAGTGTAAATGAGCCGAGCAGTTCGGTCAAAGTTCGGCTCAAGCTCGGTCAAAATAGAACTCGAGCTGAGCTCGAGCGACTCGTTTAGTAATCGAGCCGAGCCTAGATATTCTAGGCTCGTGGCTCATCGAGCCGCTCGCGAGCCATATACTATATAATATATAATACATAATATGATATAATATATAAAATGACAATTAGAAATTAAAATTTTAATCTCAAAATCCTTAAAAAATTTCTATTATTTATGTATGGATAAAACAAAGTAGTTTGAATTTTAAATCAAACCTATTAAATAGGTCAAATGCAATGTCAAAATCGAGCTCGAGTTCAAACTCGAACAATCGAGCTGCTCGAGCAGCCCGAAAATTACCGAGCTCGAACTCGAGCCGAGCCTACATTAACGAGCTCGAGCTCGGCTCGGCTCGTTTACACCCCTAGATTGTGTTAGCAGGTTTTGACCACTTGTTTGGCAATTAGCAGTTAGCAGATTGTATTAGCCGTTAACGAATAGTGGATTGTGTTAGCGTGTTTGACTAGCGCTTGTAAAAAGATTTTTGGTAAAATAATTAGCTGTTTAGATTAGCAGTTAACATGTAAAATGACCAAAAGGGTAAACATAATAATAATAATAATAATAATAATAATAATAATATAGTAATAATAATATAATAATAAATACAGCATCAAACTAGGGTTTTTTTTTTTTTAGGAACACTAAGGGGGTTTTGGTTGGATGAAAAACAAATTTCATGGAAAAAGATTTTTTAAGAGGCCGTTTGGTACACTTTTCTGATCCCAAAATAAAACTACACAAAATGAAAAGTACAAAATCTTATAATGCCGGTCAAACACTTTGTGCTCAGATAGCATGTAGTGACATTTCTCATATGGAAGGTCATGAAATCGAGCCTCAGTAGAGGCGTGGCGTTGTTGGGTGTGGATGGCAAGTTGCCATAACTAATAAAAAAATAACGCGGGTGTGGGTTGCCATAACTATCTCTCTATCTTATTTTATGTGTCGAATTCGGTTAACAAGGTTTGATTGAAGTTATTTATAATTTAATTTTTTATAAGATTCAGTTTAGAATTAGTATTAAATTTTATATATTTTAAAACTACATTAAAATACTATTAAACATAAAAATCAAATTTAAAAATTATAAGACAATAATAATAAAAATAAAAATAAAAATATTATTTTTGACTAATGAGTAATAAATAGAAAAGACAAAATAATAAGACAAAGAAATATATATTTATTTACCACATAAGTTTATTACATTTGCAAGCCTTGCAAATATATTATCAGTCAACTGCACTTTACTACTTTAGTCGAGCTTTACCTTGCCAATAAAGGCAATAATACTTAAATGGGCCTATTTTATAATACTAAAATATTACGGAGTATTATTATTATTATTATTATTATTATTATTATTATTATATTATAAAATAAGTTTCAATTATAGCTAGGGCTGTTAACGAACCGAACATAAACGAACGGAGGTTGTTCGTGTTCGTTTGTTAAGAATTTTGGAGTGTTCGTGTTCGTGTTCGTTTGTTAAGGTTTTTGAAAATCTTGTTCGTGTTCGTTTGTTAAGCGTTCATTAGTGTTTGTTAATGTTCACGAACACGTTCACGAACGTGTTCATTTATGTTAACGAACATGTTCGCGAACGTGTTTGTTAACGTTCGTGAACACGTTCACGAACGTGTTCGTTAACGTTACCAAACACGTTCACAAACATGTTCGTTAACAAGCACGTTCACGAACATGTTGGTTTACGTTCATAAACACGTTCGTGAACCTTTAATAACCAAACACCTGCACATGTTCATGATCACAATTTGTTCGTGAACAACAAATAATCTACGTTCAAGAAATAATCAACGTCCATGATCACAATATAATCTATGTATATATATGTTCGTGAACATTATTAAACGAACACTAAACGAGCTTGTTCATGAAAATTATTAAACGAACACAAACGAGCTTGTTCACGAACATTATTAAACGAACACAAACGAGCTTGTTCACGATCTCTTAACAATCGAGCATACAACTGTTCAAGCTCTGTTCGTTTATCAACCGAGTTCTAAATTTTGTTTGATAATGGTTCGTTTACCTTAACAAACGAACATAAACGAATGCTTACCGAACACGAACACGAGTAGTTTGCCGAAAGCTCTGTTCGCTAACACCCCTAATTATAGCAGAGAAAGTAGTGGTGAATTTAATTTTGATGATATGAGGTCCATTTTTAAAGTAATAGAGTATTCAAGAGAGTGATGTTATACTCTCTTATCGATTCTAAATTTTAATATTTAATTCTTTATGTCAATAATCTTGTAGTCTAGTGATATGAAGTGACTTTCTCAAATGAGAGGTCGTCGGTTTTAGCCTCAAGTCTCAGTGGGTATGAATAGATATTACGTAGAGTCAGTAATACTATAAAAAAAATGACAATTGAGTGGTTATTTTGTGGTACAAATATATGTGAGGTCGGCTTTTGATTTAGGTCAAGTCAGAATAGATTCGAATTCTTCGTAATCAAATGAAGGTTCTTCGTAATTAAATGAAGGAATTGATATATTGTATGCTCAAAATTAGTAAGCAGACATATTTGAGATAAGTCAAAATAATAAGCACAACATTAGGAAGCTAAGAGTGCATTTTCATGCACTTACTTCTTAATTCGAGGAGTGCAATTCATCAGCACTTACGAAAAGTTAAGCGCTAATGAAACATGTGCTAATCCTCAATTACAAAGAGGACCATTTTTTATTTTATTTTATTTTTTTGGTCGCCCAAAGGTATCCTTCCACCCGATAATTAGAAGATTAATCTCCCGTTTTTACTGTCAGACTAAAATAAATTGGACAAAAATAAGAAAAACTCATTTCTCAAATGTGTATGTTTTCAGAATATTTGTTTTGTTTTTATTTTTTTTTCGTGGTCAAACAGACACACAAGAGGGACTTACGTGTCTCGTATTGTATACGAGATACGCAAGTCCCACCTGCGTATCTCGTATTTTTATTATTATTTAAACAAAAAAAAATTGGTCGCGGGCTTCTCTAACGAATGATAAGGCGACCAAACTAGTTGCCTTCTCCTTCATGAAGAAGCCAGTGACCAGTTTGGTCGCCGGAGACCAAGTTTTTTTTTTTTAAAAATAAAAATATACGAGATACGCAAGTGAGACTTGCACCTTGCACTTACATATCTCATATACAATACGAGACACGCAATTGACTGCGAAAAAAAAAAACAATAAAAACAAAATAAATATTCTGACAACATATGCATTTGGGAAATGAGTTTTTCCTATTTTCGTCCAACTTTTAAAAGTGTCCTATTTTTGTCCACTCTTGTTGTGTTTGTCCTATTAGATTCTTTGACCTCGGACTTCTCAGTCATTCAAATTTTTTTAAATAAGTTATTATGGTCGATATAAATTAATGGTACTTAATTTCGTAACTGCATATATTATTTCAATCATAAGTATGACCGTTTCCAACGTTATAATCGAATTATTAATTCAGATTTATTGTGACATACTTAATGCTATGATTTAATCATCCCCTATATAATCCTTGTTGTTTAGGCAGAATTTTCACCTAGGGAAAATCATTTTCCCTTACTCCTACATTGTCTTTCCAAAACTCTGTTCATTCATTCTGAAAAAAGTTTGTGTCCAAGTCTGTTATTCTAGTTCATCCAAAATTAAAATAATAGAACTAAATGCATTTTATGCATCAATATTACAATAATCGATATTAAAAGTGAAATTTCCTAAAGAAAACTAAAACATTATAAATATTTAATCATAATATGATAAGATAAGATAGTATTCATAAAAAATTGTTTAGTTATAATAATACAATAATTATAAATATATTTGAATATTGATCGAAAATTACACTAGTTAAAATTTAAAATAAGCTCTTGTTTAACACTGCATCAACATTAGGGGTGTTAGCGAACAGAACTTTCGGTAAACTACTCGTATTTGTGTTTGGTAAGCGTTCCTTTATGTTTGTTTATTAAGGTAAACGAACATTAACAAATAAAATTCAGTGCTCGGTTTATAAACGAACAGAATCTGAACAGTTGTAAGCTCGTTTGCTAAGAGATCGTGAACAAGCTCGTTTGTGTTTGTTTAATAATGTTCATGAAAAAGCTCATTTAGTATTCGTTTAGTAATGTTCGTGAATAAGTTCGTTTGTGTTCGTTTAATATTTGTTTGTATTCTCTTTGTAGTTGTGTTACTTGTTTTGTTATTTTTCATGAACATATATTATTTCTTGTTCACGAACGAATTGGGATATGATCATGAACATGTTCATATGTTTGGTTATTAAGCATTCACGAACGTGTTTATGAACGTGAACGAACACGTTCGTGAACGTGTTCGCGAACGTTAACAAACACTAATGAACGCTTAGTCTTAACAAACGAACATGAACAGAATTTTTAAAAACCTTAACAAACGAACACGAACACGAACACTCCAAAAACCTTAACAAACGAACACGAACAACCTCTATTCGTTTATGTTCGGTTCGTTAACAACCCTAATCAACCTCACTAACCAAAGATGGGGAAATGTGATGCTGACAAATAAAATACATTTAGAGAGGAAGAGTTAAATAAGTTTTTTTAAATAAGCCTTTGAACTTTATAAAAAAGAATAAAAAAGAATCTTGAACTTAAAAAGTTGAAATTAAACACATTAGCTTGTCATTTTATGTGCATGATCCTAACAACCGATTATGTACCAGTAATTGAAGTTCCAGTTTCGATTGCCCATCGTTTTATTCAATGACGAAGGCCGTTCGACGGTACTAATCTCTGATTTCAATTATTGCTAGAATTCTAATTACTGATGAATAACTGAATACTGAGTTTAAATGTACAAAAATATATAACTGACTATTTACTTGTTTTATTTTTTTTATTTTTTTTTTGAAGGGAGATATGTAATTTTTAAAACTTTTCCATACATTTATTATGCTATGATGATTGCTATATCTCATGGTTCTCGCCATACAGTGAAGAAATCAGAAATTTGTGCCATTTAACATTAATATATAGTATTATTTTGGAGTGTATTGAACAATTAGACCTCAATTATTGTACTGGGGATCGTGCATCACTAGTCATGACTCATGAGATAAGATTATTTACCAAAAAAAAAAAAAATAGTATAAACACCAACCAAAAACAAAAGCCAAAATCACGTTTTATCACTAGCTAACAACTACAGTAACTTCAGTGGTCCAATACGCCAAATGATCTGCTTATTTTAGACATAATCTTTACAGTGTTACTATTCAATTTTAAATCTTGATCTCTTTCTCTAAATACTGTATGCCAAACTAAGCCGGGGCAATTAATTAATAACTAATTGTCAAACAAGACATATAATTCAATAACAAAAAAGTACAAATAAAACTTAGCATTCTGCTCTATTTATACCACCTCCTACTGATCTGAAACTCCACAACATAACTAAGCTTCAATTCTTCCAAGCAATAAGAGACTACATACTCTACTTGAAAGAATTATTGTTAAGGTTGTGAGATAAAAGATGGGGGATGGTGAGGTGATTCTATTGGACTTCTGGTGCAGTATGTTTGGGATGAGGGCCAGGGTAGCACTAGCAGAGAAAGGGATCAAGTACCAGTACAGAGAAGAGGACTTGGGTAACAAGAGCCCAGTATTGACACAAATGAACCCGGTTCACAAGAAAATACCGGTCTTGATTCACAATGGGAGACCAGTGTGTGAGTCTCTCATTATTCTCCACTACATTGATGAGGTTTGGAGTGACAGATCTCCACTGCTCTCCTCTCATCCTTATCACAGATCCCAAGCTAGCTTCTGGGCTTCTTACATTGATGACAAGGTAGTCATTCATTCATGTAATTAATTGCTTTTTGTATATCTAAAATAAAAATAATTAGAAGTGTCAAATATGTCCATCTACTACTGCAAAGTGTTCAATTCCCACCGCGAACTAAATTAAGTATCAAATAGGTCCATCTACCAGCCGGACAGCCATGGCTGTCAAACATGAGGTCCAGATTTGGACCTCTGGACCTCATGTATGACAGCCACGGCTTTCTGTGAAATATGCAGCCTCTAAAAATAATTGAATAGGCAACATGTTAGCAACCTACAAAAAAAGTAATTGAACAAATTTAAGATGTGCCTATTTGACACTTAATTTAGTTCGTGGTGGGAATTGAGCATTTTGAAGTAGTAGATGGGCCTATTTAACATTTAATTTAGTTCGGGGTGGGAATTGAGCACTTTGCAGTAGTAGATGGACCTATTTGACACTTATGCCATAACAATATAATGTTGCAGGTATGTGAGTATGGGCACAAATTAAACACAAGCAAAGGGGAAGAACAGGAGGCAGCCAAGAAAGATTTGATAGATTGCATGAAGGTGTTGGAGGGAGAACTTGGGGAGAAACCCTATTATGGAGGGGAAAGCTTTGGGTTTTTGGATGTGGCACTCATCACATTCTACCCATGGTTTCTGGCTTATGAGAAAAGTGGGAAGTTCAGCATGGAATGTGAGTGTCCCAAGTTGATTGCATGGGCCAAAAGGTGCATGCAAAGGGAGAGTGTTTCCAACTCCCTTGCTGATCCCTACAAGATCTATGAGTTTGTGCAGCAGATTAGGAAGAACAAATTTGGAACTGATGATCAATAATTCAATTCCATTCCTGAATGTTCTGCAGCTTCAATGCACTGCACAAACCTTGATAAATTCAAGGCTCCTATCTGTATCCCATTTCATATTAATAAAGGCTCCTATTTTTGTTTTTGTAAGGATTGCAAGCATTATCATCCCTACTCAACTTGAAAAAAAAAAAAACAAAAAAAAAAAAAAAATAGCAAGGATTGCAAGCATTATATATCATCATACTCAACTTGATCAAGCCCTTCTTCAAGCTCTTCCAACATCTCAAGTGCCATTCTTAGAGCGCCTCTTGCTTTCTTCTGATTATTACAATACTTTGTCAATTTTGCCTCAGCCGCTTCAAGTTTCCCCATCTTATCGTTCAGACTAGTCTTCAACCTCTCCATCTCCACCATCGAACAGCTCAACTTATGCTCCATCTCAACCCCATCCGACTTCAATTTCTCGATCATCTTCGCCTTCTCTCCCAATTCCAACCTCAATTCCTCCACCGTCTTCACCTTCTCTGCCAACTCCAACCTCAATTCTTCTTCCACCATTTTCGCCCAGAATTTAGAGCTTTAGCACCACCCCGATTATTTTACGTGAACTGAGAATTCGGGATTTGAAATGGGATTAGCTGTGAGTGGCGATTTTATAGGCCGTTCGTTATGGATGTTTCTGGAAGAACGCAAATGATTCTTTGGACCTTCTAAAATTTACATACTAAGTTCCTTTCAAATATTCCTATCACACAATATTAACAAATTAGAATTTGATAAATTCCTTTCCACAACTCTTATGTATTTTGACTTAAAAATAGGTCCTTCAACTATGAATTGTTATATCGTGCACTAAGGCGCACAATGCATTGTGCGCCCTGACCCAAAACGACGATGTTTCTCTAAGTTGGTGGGGAGTTGACGCGACAATTTTTTTTCAACACTTGTATTATATTAAGAGTTTATGCGTTATTATGTATTATGTCAGATTATGTGTATTATGTTAAGAGTTTATGTGTATGCTACTATACAATTCTATACATACGAAATAGGAAACGGAATTTTCAAAACAAAAAATTGTTAATTAAAAAATACAAAATGACGTCGTTTTAAGCCAGGGCACACGATATGTGAAATTTGCCTTCAACTATAAGCTAAAGTGTAATTAGTCACATAAACTAAGAAAAACTCCAATTAGGCCCTTCATCTCTTCACTTGTATGCAATTAAATCCATAACTTTTTAAATTTGTACAATTAGCTCAATTTGCAAGTAAACACAAGGTAATAACAAGTAAAATTATTTTTTTTAAAAAAAGAATTTACAAAAAAAAAAAAAAAAAAAAGTTGGACGAAGAAGCCAAGTCGACTTTTTCGTCCAACTAAACGAAGAAGCCGGTCGGTCGCCGGATTTTTTTTTTAATTTATTAATTTATTTGAATTAAAAATATATTTTTTATTTTAATTAATTTTTAAAATTAAAAAAGAAAAGAAAAGGAATTTACATGTGACTTAAATGTAACCTGTTAATTAACTTAATTGCATAAAAGTGAAAAGATGAAGGGTGTAATTGAAATTTTTGTTAGTTTAGGGGACTAATTTGACTTTGACATATAGTTAAATAATTTATTTCACCCTTATCTTAAAATAATAAAATTTATATTCTAAAAATTCCCAACTTTAATACTAAAAATATACAATTTATACGTTGTTTAGAACCAGGATATCACAAAATACGTGAACCTAGTCCATGGTATAAGTGTATAACAACTCCTGAAAGAACCAGTGGACTCATTTTCCCTTCCAAGATTCCTGAGCTGGACCCGGCCCGTTGTAGTCCAAGAACGAAGTCATCCTTTGTTTCCGTCTGCAAATCCTGCAATGAAACATTGCACACACAATTTACAAACACAAGTTTTACAATGGGAGAATCTTTAACACGTAGTAATAATTTATGATAAAAATAAATTCCAATACTAGCACAATTGGTAAAATGAAACCAAAACTTTGAATGGAACTTTCTCATTAATTCACCTCTCCCCAATATTTGACGCACATTACAGAATGATAAGATGTTAGGGATGTTAATCTTAGTTCGAATAAAATTTTTAAGTACTAATTCATCACTCCCAGACAAATTGACACACTTTACAAAATGATGGTTCTTAGCTCTGAGTTTGATGAATTGTCTCGATAAATTGAAAAATTTGAGGGTTAGATGTGAAATATTTTAGCTCAATAAAAAAAAAATCAATACAATAAATCCAAAACCGATATGCTCGGTATCCCAAACGGACTGACCCAAAATGTAGTGGGTTAGCTCAATAGCTCGAACCACTTAAAGTTATTCTTTATTGTTGAAGTAATATGGACATAATATAAATGGAGTTTTTTTTTTATTACAAAGGAAGGGGATACCCACATATACGATTTAGGCAAATTATTGTGTAGATCATGCTCCACACAATGTTATGTGGACCATAACAAAAAGTATATTTTTAATATATTAAATGTACATTATTTTTATACTGTATGTACATTATACAATATAATGTACACTCAATACAAAAATAATGTACATCCCATGAATACAATGTACATTATTTTACAGTATACAAAATATGGTCCATACAACTTGTGTGGACCATGGTCCACACAATAATGATTGTACAATCTACGCCTACACCGAGGCTCGAACCTTAGACCTCCCACATAATAGTTTTATAGGTTAGCTCATCTTTAGTATGGAGTATTATTTTATAAAATGTTTAAATAAAATTTTAATAAATATATTACAAAATAATTTTTTTTTAATGAAAATAAATAATGAAAAATTAAAACTTTCTATAATATTATATTATAGTGTAAGTATATTAAATTATTAATTATTTTTAGTTGGAATTTTGAATTAGATTGATTGAATGATAAGTTTATATTTATTAGTGTAAATGCGTTAGTTTATTAAAGTTGAAAGTTTAGAATGTTAATTTGAAAATGTCAAAAATTTTAGTTGAATCCGCCCATTCATAACAAGAGAAATCAAAATGTTCAATGAGGTCAGTGATAAAATTATTAACTAGAATTAAAAATAATATTTTTAATATGGTGACGAGAGATATAACTAGTTGAATATGTCAATTTTAGTCAAATTACATAATTTTAGAGTTCAATGACCCATTACAAATTTGTTGGATTTGATTTAATTAAATTTTTGCATGTTGTTCAGTGACTAATTTGAACATTTTTATGATAAAAATACTACTCATACTCTTAGAACATACCACAAAACTTTTTATAATTTACTCCCAAAAAGGTATAGATTCACGAACATTTGATTATTAAAAAAGAGTGATGACACCACTATTATCATTCTAAATAAAAAGTCACGAGTTTGAGCTGTAAATATGTTAAATTGTAGTCATTAAAAAATAGGTATATTACATGTAACTAATCATTAGTTATAAAGAAAAACAACTTTTAAAAAAAAAAATTCTTCTTTACACCTAATCAATAAAAATCACATGATAAGAATACATTGTAGGTGTAAAATATGTCGATAAAATAAATATATAAACAACAGTATTTAATTTAGAAAAATTAATTCTAATAAAAATTTGGTATGAAACCAAATGATTGAATTTATTTATACAAAATAAAAACGAAAAGAAAATTTTCAAATATGTGATTATAAATCAACAAGAAACGAGAAAAGACCAAGTCGTGTATAGTACACATGTTTAAAAAAAAAAAACCAATTCCCAATCTACCGAGGGTGCTAAAAGTGTTATAGAGTTAGTTTTTCAGGATTTGTTAAAAATGGATCACAGTTTAACATTTGAGTACTCAAACAAATAAATTTGACGAACTAGAACAACAGACTGAGCACTTCAACTATTTAATTTATAGAAGTGTTGGCAGAAAATTTCATAAGAAAATGATTTTACGAGAGAGGAAGTGAGAAAACAAAAACAACCCCAAAGATTTTGGAATTTCTCAAAAAATTAGCCTCAAACAATTTGCCCTATCATTTAAAAAAAACATCCAGTAACCTTAAAAGGGTCTTGTATATATAATGGTGTAAATTTACTACCCAAACCAATGTAGGACAAAAGGTTACTCACAAGCCTCCCAAACTCATTTTTCCAACTCAAATGGATATACTTTGAGAATCAATTTCTCATTCACACATTATCCATTTTGAGTGTACAATATATCGATTTCTTCGTCTCATTACGAGGAGTGCAAATCCGCTTTGACTTGACTCAAATCAGAAGTGGACCTTTTATATATATATATATATATATATATATATATATATATATATATTTGTACCACAAAATAGTCATTTAAATGTCATTTTTATGCTAAAAATTTCAACGTATATATTTCCAAAAAAACACAAGCATCTATCTTTAAAAAAAAAAAAAAAAAAAAAAAAAAAAAAAAAAAAAAAAAAAAAAACAAACAAAAAAAGACTAGGGACGACTATGATGCTATTTTATTATTCTTTCTCCCAAAAAATGTATAGTACCAAATGCCAGTGCACACAAGGATCTATTTATTTGGACATAATTCTTACATTACTGCCGCTAATGTTCAAACCTTGGTCTTTTCTTCCAAATACTATCTATTGAACCATTGATCTAAACCCCCACCCCATTATTTTACATCAAGTGATATGGAGAAAATGTCAAAAACAGTGATCAGTGCAGTGCAGGTTTTTGATTTGGTCTAGGAATGGTTTTCAACTGTTTCCATATTCTTATAGCATTTTCCAAGGTTGCCAAACCCATCACTGAAACTGAAATGGTAGGCATGTGCTACTGATCACAAAGAAATGTTACATCTGATCCCTCCACTAATAAGGAGACTTCCTCTTAGAGTCTTCAACTAAATCATCACAGCTTAGACTATTTGCATATTGCAACACCCAACAGCCAATAGTAGTGAAAGTGCTCCAAGTGAAACAGAATGTTATGTCCAAATCTGTGGAAACCAATTATATATGTAAAATCACTTTCCATCCCCATTCCATTCCTGTCATTTTAAGGAATCACTAGTGTTAATTGTGATTACTGATTGATTGTCAGTCTAGGAAATCCCATCACTTTTCTGATTAGCGGGATGATAATAACAATCAATATTTTACGTGAAAACCCAAAAAGAGAAAAATTACAAACTCGGCCTCACCCATTGTTGTATAAGTCTGCAGTTTTTGGAATAAAGAAGAATATAATTTCAGTGCTAAAAGAGATCAGAGATTGTAAAAATGACTGAACAACATTTTACTATAACAGTTATACTTAACAAACATTAATGTTATAGTTACAGACACTTAAAACTTGGGTGCACAACACTGTTTGTGCATTTTGTCTAAGAAATAATAACAAGGATTGCAATCTTAGTATATTGTTCATGAACAGTCTCTGTCTGTGCTTGTATCCTAGCAAACAAAACTTTTATCATAGTACAAAGCAATAGAACAACCTTCAACTCAAAATGAATTGAAGGAAATGATAATCATTAGAACAAGACTAAGGAGTATAGAATGAAGAAGGAATAAAAAAAGAGTGGTTGTGGAGTTTTCTGGGTACATACTCACATATTACTTTGTACTATTGCTCCAACTACATTATTCATTTAAAGTCAACCTTAACTCTTCTTTGCTTAGGACTGTGACCAAACATATCATGATCCTTCTTCATCTTCTCGCCTCGTTAACAAGTCTCTTTATATCGTGTAATCTAACATTAAATGGATAATCTCAGTTTCATATATCTTATTAAAATTAGTGTTAGGTCAGTTTGACATGTCACCTTACCCCCAACCCCTCTCTTTTTTACCTACCTTAGTTCCCAGCCTCCCTCCCTTTTTATGCTTGTTGTTATCTTCTTGTTATTGGTTTAACTTTTCAATGATTTTGAACAAAACCCTTTTCTTGATTGTGTGCATTTCCAAATGGGATTCAAAAATTTGTGAGGTTTTTCCCACTTTTATTGATAGTCAATTGAAAGTTTCATGTTTTTTGGTTCATGGAAATGACATGAACTTATAGCAAATAAGCATGCACCATATGTTTGTTGGATTATCCTCTGAAATGGAAAGCCAAAGGAATTTCAGAGCCCAAAAGCGTCGGCTTTTTATGTTCTTGATTTCTATGCTTTGCAGCCTCACAGAATCTCTGATGAATCAGGAGGGAATCACACTTTTGGAGTTCAAAACCTCCCTTATGGACCCAAACAACAATCTCCAGACCTGGAATTCTTCTTCAGGCTTGAATCCCTGCAATTGGGCTGGGATAGCATGCAATGGTGATCACAAGGTAACTTCTGTACACCTTCATGGCCTCTATCTATCTGGTAGCTTATCTTCAAAAATCTGCGAGCTTCCTGTTTTGACTGATCTCAACATCTCAGCAAACTTCATTTCTGGCCATATTCCTGATTTTGCACATTGCCAAAATCTTGAGGTTTTAGACCTCTGCACCAATAGATTCCATGATAAATTCCCTTCCAAGTTTTCTGATATGCCCTCCCTTAGGAAGCTTTACCTGTGTGAGAATTATATCTATGGAGAAATCCATCCGGAGATCGGGAACTTAACTTTGCTCGAGGAGCTTGTAATTTACAGTAATAATCTCACTGGAAGGATTCCAAACTCAATAAGTAAACTGAAAAAGCTTAGGATTGTGAGGGCAGGGAGAAACTGTTTTTCAGGTACAGTCCCTGTAGAAATAAGTGAATGTGAGAGTTTACAAATCCTTGGATTGGCAGAGAATAGGCTAGAGGGGTCTTTTCCTGTAGAGCTTCAGAGGCTTGAGAATCTCACTAACTTGATCCTTCGCTCGAATTCGTTTTCTGGTGCAATTCCAGCTGAAATAGGGAATTTCAGTCACCTGGAAGTACTTGCACTTCATGATAATTCCTTCACCGGGCACCTTCCGAAAGAGCTGGGGAAGTTAGCCATGCTAAAAAGATTCTACCTTTACAGAAACCATTTGAATGGCACAATTCCATGGGAAATTGGGAACTGTTCTAGTGCCACTGAGATAGACTTTTCTGAGAATCACTTGGGTGGGATTATTCCAAGATCGTTGGGTCGAGTTTCCAATCTCCAGCTGCTTCATCTTTTCGAAAACCTCTTACATGGAAGCATCCCGAGAGAACTTGGAGAGCTGAAGCACCTCAGGAAGTTGGATTTATCCATAAACAATTTAACAGGTAGGATTCCTCTAGAGTTTCAGAATCTTGAGTTCTTGGAAAATATACAACTTTTTGACAATCATCTTGAAGGGACTATCCCCCCGTTACTCGGGCTGAAAACCAACCTGTCGTTTCTCGACATGTCAAGGAACAATCTGATAGGAAGCATCCCTCCAAAGCTTTGTTGGTCCCAGAAACTGAGCTTTCTGAGCCTTGGCTCCAATAAGTTGTCCGGAAACATTCCTCGTGGCCTAAAAACTTGCAAGTCTCTGGAGCAGATGATGTTGGGAGATAACCTGCTCACCGGTACTCTTTCTGTCGAGTTGTGCAAACTCCAGAATCTTTCAGCTCTCGAGCTCTATCAAAACCGGTTTACTGGACTGTTACCCCCAGAAATCGGTAATTTTAGTAGACTGGAAAGGTTTCTCTTGTCTAATAACTACTTTTTTGGTCATATCCCTCCTGAGATTGGGAAACTTGTGAGGCTTGTTACTTTCAATGTCTCCTCAAACAGGCTATCTGGGGGGATTCCTCATGAGTTGGGTGATTGTATCAGGCTTCAGAGGCTTGATCTTAGCAAAAACTGGTTTACTGGGAACCTCCCAGATAAACTAGGAATGTTGGTGAATTTGGAATTGCTTAAGCTATCAGATAATAGATTAAATGGGGAGATCCCATATACATTGGGGGAGCTTGTAAGACTTACTGATCTGCAAATGGGTGGCAATTTATTTTGTGGTGAAATCCCTATCGAGCTCGGTCAACTCACAGCCCTTCAAATTTCTCTCAACATAAGCCATAATGCTCTCACTGGATCAATCCCGGGAAACTTGGGTGACTTGCAGATGCTTATATCGCTCTACTTGAATGATAACCAACTTAGCGGTGAAATTCCCGGTTCAATAGGTGAGTTGATGAGCCTCAATGTCTGCAACCTTTCCAACAATAACCTGATAGGAGCAGTACCAAACACCCCCGTCTTTCGAAGAATGGAACCGAGCAATTTTGCTGGGAATCCAGGCTTGTGCAAGTTGGATTCGTCGAATTGCTTCCCCTCTCCGACCCCATTAACATTTTCAAACTCAAGCTGGATCAAGAAAGCTTCATACCGAGAAAAAGTAATTCTCATATGCTCAGCTGTTGTTGGACTGGTTTCTTTGGTCTTCATTGCTGGCGTTTCTTGGATGATGAAGAGCCACACGAAAGCCACCGTCTTAGTAGAAAATCAAGTGAAAACCAATGTCTTGGAGGAATATCACTTCCCCAGAAAAAGATACAGTTTTCAGGACCTTGTTATGGGCACTGAGGATTTCTCAGAAAGTGCTATCATAGGAAGAGGAGCCTGTGGTGTTGTCTACAAGGCTGTCATGACTGATGGAGAAGTGATTGCTGTGAAAAAGCTGAAATCCCGGGGAGAAGGAGGGAGCTTAGAAAACAGCTTCACTGCAGAATTATCGATACTCGGGAACATCTGTCACAGAAATATTGTGAAACTCTATGGTTACTGCCACCACCAAGACCGCAATCTTCTCTTGTATGAGTACATGGAAAATGGAAGCCTCGGGGAAATTCTCCGTGGGAACAAGGAAACTCGTATGCTGCTGAACTGGAATGACAGATACAAGATTGCTCTCGGAGCAGCTGAGGGCCTATGTTACCTCCACCATGATTGTAAGCCCCAAATCATCCACCGCGACATAAAATCAAACAATATCTTATTGGATGAAATGCTCGAGGCACATGTAGGAGACTTCGGGTTGGCAAAGCTAATCGACTTGCCATACTCAAAATCAATGTCAGCTGTGGCTGGTTCATATGGCTACATTGCGCCCGGTAAGGCAACAACTCTATCTTACTTTCTATATTTGGAGCTGTTCTGTTGAGCATATAATATATATAAACATAAATGTGCAATCCAACTATCAGCTTAGACTTTTTCTATATTTGGAACTGTTGAGCATATAATTAATATATATAAACATAAATGTGCAATCCAACTAATAGCTTAGACTTTTAGTTATTAATACAGATGCTGAACTTAACTGCAGAATATGCTTACACAATGAAAGTGACAGAGAAATCCGATATATATAGTTTCGGGGTTGTTCTGCTGGAACTAATTACTGGAAGCTCTCCGGTTCAACACATTGAACAAGGAGGAGATCTAGTGAGTTGGGTGAGAAAATCGGTTCATGAAGGCGTCTCGTTCTCTCATATCTTTGACAAAAGGCTTGATCCTATTCCGGGAAGCACGATTGAGGAGATGTCTTTAGTTCTCAAGATTGCATTGTTTTGTACCAATATATCTCCTCTCAATCGGCCAACAATGAGAGAGGTGGTTGCAATGCTGATCGACGCTAAGGAAGCGACGAATAATTCACTGCCCTCTTCAACATCAGAAACTCCTTTAGATCAATAGCTTGCAAATCCATCCTCCCTACAATATTTTCATCAGCCTGTAGTTATTACTAAGCATGTTAGGCTACATTTTGCCTCTAACTAGCAACTTTCTCAGAGATCCACTTATTATTGCAATGATCTAATTGATCTATCTTCTTGTCTTGATATCCTATCCAATATGTTACAAAATGGATTAAATGGGAATGATTTTCACATAGAAAGATCAAGAAGAGATCATACTGTCTCACATTACTTAGGGAGAGTCAACCTCTATAAATACAGGCTAGAGGGCATATGAATATATGATATGGAAGTTTGCATATACCTCAAAATCCTAATCTCTAAGTTTCCTAACATATAGGATTCTTAATATTGAATATTGGGTTAATACCCAAAATGGTCCTCGACTATAGTGGTTTTTCAATTTCGTCCTAAACGATTTTGATGACCTAATAGTGTCTCAGACTTTTGTGTTTCGCTCAATTTAGTCATCCATTTGTTATTTCGTTAAATTGATGTTAAATAAAAGGACAATTCAATAATCTCAATATTGATCTATCTTTACTTTCAACCTGCAAAGTGCGAAATCCCTCTTTCTTGTATGAATTACACCCAGAATTACTCTAAGACCTGCGAATCAAATTTTATATTCGCAGTTTTAGGAGTGATTCTAGGAGTAATTCGTAAAAAAATAAAAAATAAATAAAATAAAAAAATCGCAGTTCACATGTCTATGAGTAAAGAGATGCCAATATTGAAATTACTGAATTGTCTATTTATTTAACACCAAATGAACAGAATAACAAATGGAGGACTAAATTGTGAAAAAACACAAAAGTTTGGAACTAAATTGAGCAAAAACACAAAAGTTTGGAACTAAATTGAGTAAAAACACAAAACTCTGGACTACATTAAGTCACCAAAGTCGTTTAGGACGAAATTGAGAAAAATCACTATAGTCGAGAATAATTTTGGATATTAACTCATTGAATATTCTATAACACTCCCCCTCAAGTTGGAGCATAGATATTGGAAATACCCAAAATGGTCCCTCGATTATAGCTAAATTTACAAATTGGTCCTCGACTTTCAATTTCAACCAATTAAGTCCTTAACTTTGTAATTTTAACACGATTTGGTCCTCCGTCTATTTGACCGTTTGTTGACGTGATCTATGAGGATATATATGTAATTTCATGTGCAAAGCTCAAGAGAATGCTGCACTACTCTTGGAGGTGACGGCGCCGTTTCGGAGGGGGAAAGTGCTTCTCCGCTTGCTGCTTGGAGATCACGAGCCGGTTAAGCTTGCTGACGTCACTTGGAGTCACGGCTTTCTCGTAGAGCCGCTCAGGGATTTCGCCGATCTGTCTATCAAAAGCTATAATCTCTCACGTTCGAGGCAGCGTCGTCATCGACGATCTCTAGAAAAACCTGCAGCTCTCGTCGGAGCACGTGGAGGCCTCCAAGATGACGCTGCACCGGTTCGAAAACACGTCATCTTCTTCACTCTGGTACGAACTCAACTACATTGAATCCAAAGGGAGGATGAAGAAGGCGACAGGATTTGGCTTATTGCTTTCGGCAATGGATTCAAATGTAACAGTGCGGTCTGGAAATGCAACCGGAACCTTTAAAAATCGACAATGGACCGTGAAATTACATATATATCCTCAAAAATCACAGTCAACAAACGGTCAAATAGACGGAGGACCAAATCATGTTAAAATTACAAAGTTAAGGACTTAATTGGTTGAAATTGAAAGTCGATGACCAATTTGTGAATTTAGCTATAGTTGAGGGACCATTTTGGGTATTTACTCTAGATATTAATCATGCCTAACTTGTTACACAAATAACTGACTCGGGTTCCAATAAAGGCCTTCGTGAATAGATTCCCAAGTTGTTCTCCGGTCTTCACAAATTCAGTGGAGATTAGCCCTTGTTGTATCTTCTCACGAACAAAATGACACTCAATCTCTATATGCTTGGTTCATTCATGAAACACCAAGTTTAATGCAATATGAAGAGCAGTTTGATTATCACACCATAACTTTACAGAAATCGGAGCTTTGAAACCAGAATCATCCAAGAGTTTGCTAAGAATTCCTGCAACCTCGGGTTATCGACATCTGCAAGCCATGCCCAACCCCCTACAAGAATATCTAATCCGTTCCCCACTCTGCGTATCACAACATCCTGAAGCAACTTTTGGCCAGCTAAAATACTACCCATACATGTCCAAAAAAAAAAAAAAAAAAAAAAAAAAAACTTTTAGAATTTTGTTATAAATTTGTGATTTTAGACAACGATAAAATTTGACTTATTAAATTGATATATCCGAAGTATCGATTTGAATCAATAGCAAATTTTATTTTATTTTATTTTTTGAGTGCGAATTAATAGCAATTTGTTTCTTGATTATTGGATTATTTCGATATTGTCATTAATTTTAAAGTTTTTTTTAAAGAAATTATAACTATAAATAAGTGTCCGCAAATTATTCTGTAGACCCGAGTTCAAATTTTACAATTTTCATATTAAAGGTTCATAATTTACCTTTGAAAACTTCGCAATTTGTATACTACTATACGAAGCACAATGTTAACATATATATAATTGATTACTTTGTTTTGTATTCACAAATTTCTTTCAAATACTGCAGTCACATAATATTAACATATTAAAATTTGATGACCATGCATTAAATTCACAAATTCCCTTCTATAGCTATTATGTATTTTGACTTAGAAACACAATTTATATTCTAAAAGTTCACAATTTCAATACTAAAAATATACAATTTATATATCTTTTAGATTCAGAGTCCAGCTTACAAGGTGGACCCCAGTCTATAGCATAACAATTGGTATGTATATGATGCGGTTTTGGAGTCACACCCAATGAGTCCAATACAAATTCATAACGATCTAGCTTATTGAGCAATCCACACCCAGGAAGCTCCTTCAGTCCAGAAGAATCATTGCAGATTCACAAAGCTACAATCATTGTATGATGAAATTTTCCCTTCTGTACTTCCATGTAGGCAGTGGACCTGATCTCCACATTCACTGCACCAAAAACGTCATTTAGCGACAGTTGATAACCGCCACTAAATTGTTTAGAGGCGATTCTCCAACCGTGACTAAATAGTGTAACGTGAAAGACTTAGAGACGATTTTCAACAAGTGTAAAAATTAGGCTGTGTTTGAAAAAACGAAAAATGATTTCTAGTCCGGATTTTTGGTGTTTGGCTACACTTGGAAAATCCAGTCAACGAAAAACATTTTCCGTTGACTGGAGAAAATGTGCTCAATTTGACGGAAAATGACGGGCGGAAGTCATTTTCCGCCCTTGCTATTTCTTTTTTTTTTTTTTTTTTTTTTGGCTTCTAGCGGAACTGGTTTCCGCCCGGAACCATAGCTATGGTTTCTGGCGGAAATCAGTTCCGCCAGAAACCATGGCTATGGTTTCCGGCGGAAACCAGTTCCACCAGAAACCAGCGGAACTGGTTCTGCCAGAAACCATGGCTATAATATATATATATATATATATATATATATATATATATATATATATATATATATATAATATTATTAACATTCTGGCCCAAAAACTTACCCATAATTGAAGCCCAAAACCCAACCAAATTACTGAACTAGGGGTGGGCACGGGTCGGGTTCGACCCGTGCTCATAAGGCTCACCCGAAAATATTCGGGCTTGGTAATTTAACATCCGAAAACCGAATCGAAATTTATCGGGTTATGTTCGGGTGCTCGGGTCGGGCTTTGAACAGGTTCGGGCCTTTAAATTCGAAATTGTGAATTTTTTATTTTATTTTAATAAAAATACTGAAATTCTTAACACTTGAGCATTTTGAGAAAGAAAATTAAGGACTGAAAGCAAAAGAAATAATAACAGCTATTACATCAAAAGAACTAGTGAAAACTCATAAATCAAAATCCTAAAATAATATTACATCACTTAGCTAATCAATTAATTACAAATGATAAAAACTAAATTAAAACAAAACATCAACAAACTCAAATAGTTGTGGGATGCTTCTTCAATATCTTCTCTCCATCTCTGCAATTTGAAAATTCATTATCTGTCATGAAAGATGATAGTTGTATACTTGTATAGACGTATAGTAACGAAATTTAACATTTTATTGGAATAACTAGTCAGTCATGACAATAAGATTTAGGTCAAAAACTCAATGGGAATGTTAACACCCATTTTATTTGAGCTTGTCTCTACTATTTTTATTTCTCAAGCAAATTAACACCCATCTAAATTAAACTACATCACAAGCTTCTCTGCTATCAAATATAATGTTATTTCTCTCTACTATTTATTTCTCCGCTATCAAAAGTTATTTCTCATACTGCATATAAATTATAGAATAATGAAATCAAACGTGAAGTCATTAACATTATTGAAAAATCATACTAGCAAACTGAAAGTGGGACAAAATACAAATAAAAATACTAACATACCGGCAAAAAATTCAACAATATCTTCACATATAATCACATTTTCACACACACACACACGCACAATAACACTGATTAGAAGCTTAAAACATTTCAATTTTTTTTTTTAAAAAAAGAAGCAATACTGAGTAACTATATAAAATACCTAACTGTACAAATAACATAAAAATACTTTTAATACAGTAAACATTTAAAATTTGTTTGTAGTAACTATATAAATATTAAATTATTTAAAATACAATAACCATTTTTAACCATTTGAAATACAATAAATACAGTAAACATTTAAACATAATGAAATATTTCAAATATATATGTGTGTGTATGTATAGTAATTAGTAATTGCAGTAAATATTTAAAATATAGTATAAAAATACTTAAAACATTTAATACAAAAAAACTATATAGTAACTAGTTAACTACACACTTAAAATATAAAACTTTAAAACATTTATATAAGTTCATTTTATTTTTTAATTAGATACATAAAATATACAGAATTTATGAACTATCAAATTAAAAATAGCCAAAATAAAAATCCAGAAAATCACTCCTCATGTGAAAAAAAATAATACACAAAAAAACTTTTCAAATTTTAGAAAATCAGTAAGATATGCCAAAAGAAATATTATTAAAAAAAAAAAAAAAAAAAAAAAACTATTCAAAGTTCA